TAGACCTCTAGGTCTAGTCTAGGATATGACATCACTGTTTATCTCCAGTGTGTATTCTTAGTTCTTCCTCACAAACACACATTTTCTTCCTTTGAATGCCATGCGCATGTTCTGTGTATAAACAAGTAAAACTGTCGGAAATAGAAACCAATGACTCACCGCTTCATTATCTGTAATCATCTTATATCTGTCATCATTTTACAGTAAACAAAGGTTACAAAACTGATCTGGAATGTTACTGTTCAAAGGCAGGTTGAAATCAGAAGTGTGTATTTAAATCACATGTAAATTATGAGAATGGAAGATAGTCATGAGTCTATTTTTAACAAAGTAGAGCATCTGGACTTATACAGACCAGCTGTTTCTCCTGTACTACAGTGTTCTCTTTCTTGGAAGTTTAGAACTTGAAACCTGAGGTAGAGTTGTTGTAAATTGTTCATGTAATGGTAATAATAATCTCCAGTTTATTTAGAATTTAACATTGTTTGTATGCAAGGCATACTGAATGTTCATTAATATTTATGCTTCTTTGTATATTCTAATTTTTATATTTTTGGACAGCAGACGAGAAGACAAAAGGTTCTGGACTGAATGGTAGCAATGGTACCCGAGTTCAGTCTCCTCTTAATTTCCTCCTGAATCAGGTTTTGATATGTTATCGTTTCCAAATATCTCAACTGTGCCACATTTTTAAAACATCTGTTTCCTCTCTTTATGTCATGATTATGCCCTGCATTTTGGTTATGAGACAGCAACATATACTTAGTTTTCTCTGTATTTACTTCTAGACCAACCTCTTTACTTGCGCCAATTAAAGTTTGTGTGTTTTTCTTTATGGTATCTGCATTATCACCCAGTAGATTCACATCATCGGCATAGGCCAACAGCTGATGTGTCCCATTTAATTTGTCCCACCTGGTTTCCTAGGACCTTCCTAATGGCATATTCTAAAGCAAAGTTGAAAAGGAGTGGCGATAAAGCATCTCCTTGTTTTAGACCATTCTGGATAGGAAGCCTATACATCTTTATATTATTTATTTACTCCACACAATAGCATCAGCTGTTTTGAAATATGGTGACATGTTTTAGTGACATTGTCATCATCAGGCCATTTATAATACATGAAAACCTGGAAAGCAAGTGTTAAAGTTATGAAATAACAGTTTGATGAAATACGTGTTTTTAAAATGGTGGACACATCATTTCTCACTTTTAATATTAAACTGATATAAATTTTATTTAAAATATATCAAATTAAAAAACATTTATACATATATTAATAATCCTTCTTTTCAGAAGTTAAAACACCATGGACACATTCCTGCATGTTGGTGTAGCTTTTTACACTCTGTGTATGCTTTCTTGATTGCAATATTATAGCATATTTTAATTATGTTTGTATTTAGTAGGAGTCTAATTGTTTTACAGTATATGAGTGGATTTGTATCAATATGCTTACAGTTGGATTTGTTGTATATACTGACTTGGTTTCATAGGTATCTGTTTCACTTCCTTGCTTTGCCTTGTCTGTAGGAGAACCTGGATGCTCATTGTGGTGGAGCAGGTTATGGTATGCTGCAGTTACAAATTATAAATATATTGTAAAGATTGCATGTTGCAGTTTTTAAAATTGTACACGCTTTCCATTCTCCTGTTGCTTCATTTCTTCTACATCCAAATGTTTTTATCATAAACAGTGAATTTCTTGAGTGAACTGGGTGTCTGTTTTATTCTCAAGAAGGACTCTGCCCCATGGAGTTAGTTAATACTCAGCTAATGCTATCGTATTACAGAATTTGTGATGAAATAAGAATTTAGTTGGATCAAGCTTAAAGCATATAGGAATAGAATTATTTACAGCATGCAAGATTGTTATGCTGTGAGAGTTGTAAAATTTGTATTTGAAATTCAAAACCAGGTCACAGAATAACTTGCATACTAAATTCACAATAAAATTGGCCATTTCTAATATGCATTTTGGCATGATATAATAAACATTCAGAAAATGGAAATTAGTTGATCCTGGAGTTTTATTTTCAGTGTAGATATCAACCAGTGGTTTTGAACCCTTTTTGTTTTATTTTTGCGAAAGTAATCTCTGCGTATAAGATTTTTGTTTTGGTTTGGAAGACAAAATGTCTTTGTCTATTAATTTTGGGCTTCTTCTTCTTCTTTATCATCCTGTATTGTTTGTGCACATCAGCACTTGTCTTCACTGGCAACAGAGTTGGATGCTGCATAAGCAAGTGTCCTGTGCTGAGTGATACAATTTATTCTTGGCCCAAAATGAGATAAGTTGAATATTATCTACAAACCATACACAGTTCAGTGAACTCATCCAGGAATGAGAAGCGTAATTGTTTGGCTTCCGAAGTTTTACGTTCTCCTTGAGCGATTGTCTAGAGAATATGAGAGCCACAATGTATCACAACCCTATGGGCCTCCACAGCCTGTGCTAGGGACAGCTTTAACTTAAGTAACAGCTGTAAATTGCATGGGGAAAGTGTAACTATTTTTGTTGAGACATGGCTGTGTGGTTACTTTGGGAGTATGTTTGAATTAGACTTGACTGCTTCTCTAGATTTTGTTGAGTAGAAGTTCATTTTATGTGGCCTGTTTATTCGTTATAACATCTGCTTCAGCACAGTCGTTAGATGTGTGTGGTGTAGGCTGTGATTTACTGGGAGCATTATGTCATCTCTCTCCTCCATGAAGGGGAAATTGGAAGAGTGGGGCTGGTAGATGGAGTCTATTTGTGTCTCAGACTGCTAAACATTCAGGCTTGTGACAAGGTGCTGTTGCACAGCTGAGCTAGTTCAGAGGCAGCAAAATTCTTAGAGTACAAGTGCAGATGTGAGTGTAGACATTAGATTTTAATTGTTGAATGGCATCACATCGTCAGAGTAAAAACAATTCCGGATTTGTTCCTAGACGATCAAATCCCACTGCAGTCCATTCACCTGCTGGTGCCGGAAATACTTCTAGCCATACATATGGAAGTGGAAGGCCACGAAGTCTCAGTTTGTATAGCCCTTCCTCTTCTTCGTCTTCAGCTTCCAACAGTAGCAGTTATGGAGGATTCTTAGGTCTGCATTCTAATTTGGGAAGTTATGGAAATGATGCTTCATACCTAGGAAGTCTTAGTGCCTATGGTAGCCCTCGTGGTTATGGCAGTCCATCTTCAGTATCTACATATGGGGGTACAGCGTCTGGTTATGGTGGCCTGACTCTTCCTAATGCATCATCTTCATCGAGTCTTGGGCTTTCATCGTCACCTTCCCGCAGTTCTTACTACAACAGCTTTTTACAGACACCAGTTAATTATGTTCATAATGGTAGTGGTAGCAGCAGCAATAGCAGGACACCTTCAAGGACCAGTAGCTTCAACAGGACATTAACCGCTTCACGCAACTCTCCATTGTCTTCAGCCCTCGGGTCTCGGTCAGGTTCACTTACATCACTTGCAAGTAGTACACGCAGTGGATCAGAAGGATACTTAGTAAGCTGTACTTTGTTGCTTTTATATGTCTCAGAATAGCAGTACAAGCAATTACTAAATTATAAAGTATCTCTTTTGTTCCCATGTAATAATGAATAGGTATGCACCTGCATGTTAATGACTAACTCCATGGAGCAAAGTTCTTGAGAAGCTGACAGTTCCTTGGCTGGCCGAGAAATTCTCAGCTTTTATGGAACCAAAAGTTCTGTTGCTGTGTTCACAAGAGCCTAACACTGTATCTTGTGCCACTTGAATCCAGTGTGCACCTTTTTTCTTTAAAATCTTTTTAACATAGTCTTCCCATCAACATCTTGGTCACCCTTCAGGTTTGCCAACTAAAATGATGCATGCATTTCTTATTTTTCCATGCATGTACACATATCATCATCATTGAGTTAATCACTAGGTATGTTAGGTGAAGGGCACAAATTATGAAGGTCTTCCATATGTGATTTTTTCCGTCCCTCTGTTAAAGTATGTCTCCTTTACAAACCAGGTTATGTCATGTCTTGTGTAGGAAACCTTACACTAGAAAAGCCCAGTGTGTATTTGAAATCTCCACAGGTACATGAATTCCTTTCTCTTAGGTACATATTTTCTCAGAGCTTCTCTCTCACATGCCTCCAGTCTATATTGTTCCCTACACATAGGTCCTTTCAGTCCAATTGCTGACCGCATTTTGAAGTTCAAGAATCATAGTTTTCGGTTTCCACATGTGAACAGCTCAGTACCGCTTGACAGTTTCCTATGCAGCATTGATTAATAAAAAGACACATTTGTTGTTAACATCTTTGTTTTGATTGACAGCGGCTGTTCTGGTAAGGGAGGGAGGATGTTATTCTTTGGAACATAAGCATAGTATTGTGTCATGTTCATGTTTAGCTGTTAACTGATACTACATATTCAGATTACACACACACAAGCTTAATTTATTTCAAAGTTAAGATCTTGTGTTTATGATGCCATGTAGTTTAGTAGATAGGATCCTGCTACCTCCATCTTAAACACAATAGATCATTGATAGTCATGGTGCAAGGGCCAGATTATTATGGCCCAACCTTCATACATGCCTCCATATTCTGTATGGAAGACTTCATTGTGCATAACTTATTTTGAAAACTTCACATCTTACATATTTGTGTGTGCATGCAAGCATGCATTCCTTGCAAAAGTTCAAAAGATAAATGAGGCTTGGCTGTGCATGATGGATAAAGGATGGATGGTATTCCTTGTGTCATTAATTCCCCCCCCCCAAGTTTCTATTTATATGCAGCTGTAGACTACTGTAGAAGCTGAAAATTGTCTTAGACTTATCTCAGCCAGCAAGATATAAAACCACTACTGTTGAATGTCCTTTCAGTAAACCATATATTTGTTTTCCTAAGTACTATAATATGTTCTTGCATTTGTTATTTTTCCATGGCCTTCTTTGAGAACCTTTGTTTGTGACAAGAAAGTCTACACACTTGAGGTAATCTGCAATAAAATATGTTTGTTCTAGAGTGGTGGTGATCTGTCCAGCCATTCCTCTCGCCTTAGCTCTGTTGCATCCTCCAGAGGTGACATTTCTGCAAATGTAGCCAAAGACGGCAGTGAAAATGGCGAGGTGGACTATAAGAAGGTAGGCCTTAAAATGCAGCATGATGGCTGAAAAGAAAATACTAGCAGCAAACACAATATATGGGTAATTTTTTGTTGGCATGCAAGAGGAATTACATAGGATTCATATTGCCCCTGCCTGTGTGTTTAACCCTTTCACTGCTAGTATGATAAGTAACTCTCAGTACCCCCTGTGCTGAATTATTTTTGATTAAATCTTTTTTAAATAATTTAAGTGCAAAGTATGAAAATGTGTGGTAGAACCTCAGACAGGGAACAGGCAGCAGAAGTTGCAAAAATGTTGAATTATTCAGTATTTTTCACGGGAAGAGTCCATTTAAATCAGGGTTGTCCAAGATGGCCAAAAAAAGTACATAATTCACTATCCTAGAATCACTGTACTTATAGACAGTGTCACGTAACTTCAAACAAGGCCCCACATTCCTAGTCAAATCCCGCGCATAGCTTGTGGTGGGAGGAGTTTCTTAACACTCGTTCTTCCACTTTCACTGACCCCTCATGTTTCATTGAAACTACCCTATTCTCTTTTTGAAGAACAACTGGCTGCCTGTCACTTCTCACACCCACGAACCCACCCCCTTGTCTGAAATTTTTCTTCTGCGCATTCAAGGTTACTCTTAGCCTTGTTCAAAGTTCTGTGACACTTGCTATATATCACAGTCTCATCACTATGTCACATGTTGACCAAAGTCCACAACTTTATTTAAAACTATTATAGATTTTAAACCAAAGTCAGGGCTGTCCAAAGTAATGTATTATGCGCATAAAAACTGTAAATACTGTCAGTAGTAGCTTCATTACAATATTTGCACATTCCACTCTGAACCTTCAAAGAATTTTGTAACGTATGATACTGTCACATGTTGGGTGTATACGCGACAAATAACTTCACGCCATATTGGATATAGTGAATTTTATTTCACATTCGCTCTTACAATCTCAACATTACTGCCCTCGGCAGTATCACAAATAATTAGACTGCAGATGCTAGAGTACAGTTGACTGGTTGGTTCCTGGCTAACTCGTAACAAACTTGAATAGTCTTCGCTGCTCCTTATTTAGCCCCGTTCTGGACAACGCAGAAAACAGCCACGTAATAGGCACCACTGTTGTCTGGCGCCGTGTTGCTAGCAACGTTGTCGGGAGTTGTTTACGGCTGCATAGCAACTGCGGCATCCCTTGGTCACGTCACCACTGGCGGGGTAAGGGAAGAAGTGTTGCCTTGCCTATTACCCTAATAACGACAGCGCTCCAATGGTGATACATCACCGCTGGCGTGGGGAGGGGTGTCCTGCATAGCGCAACAGGTCACACTACTTTTCGAAGCAGAGGTGTACACAGAGACCCACATTACATTTGCCACACCTGTACCAGCTCTCATGTCTTCTTCTCTCTCCAGTTGCTGTGTTTGAACACGTGGCAATGCCTGCTAGAATATTTTTTCTTTGGTGTTGGTGGTACAGGAGATGCATAATGTCAGTCTGTAAGCCTCAGTGGTTGGTCACCATCTGAAGGATGTCCTCTTTTACTTGTTTCTCTAGGGATATCGTAGTTTTGGATGATCTCTCTGACGAGTTGAAGCTGGAAATCTGCTAGAGATACGTGGTGTGTTCAAAAAGTATCAAACCTTTGGTCGGCAGAAATACATTTATTGATTTGGAGGTACAAAACTCTAATCCCCTTCAAAGTAGTCTCCTTGGTAATGCACACACTTCTCCCAGCGCTTCTGCCATTGTTGGGAACACTTCTGGAATGTGTCTTTTGGAATGGTGATCAGCCGGGCCGTCGTATTCCGCATGATGTCTTCTCTCGACTCAAATCGGGTTCCTTTCAGGGCATTTTCAGCTTGGGAAATAGCCAAAAGTCACATGGAACCATGTCGGGGGAGTAGGGAGCCTGACGAACCACAGGGATGTTGTGTTTGGCGATGAAAGTCTGAATCAGATGCGCAGAATGGGCAGGTGCGTTATCATGATGGAGCTGCCAAGTTTTTGCTGCCCACAGATCTGGTCGTTTGCGCCGCACAGCATCACAAAGGCGATGAAGGAGTTCCTGCTAGTATTCCTTTGTGATGGTTTGGCCTTGTGGTGAGTACTCATGATGCACAACCCCATGGGAATCGAAGAAAACGGCCAACATGACCTTGACATTGCTGCGGACCTGCCGTGCTTTTTTTGGCCTCGGTGATGTCGGATGTTTCCACTGTGACGACTGCATCTTGGTTTCCAGGTCGTACCCATAAACCCACAACTCATCGCCTGTGATCACGGTGTTCAGAAAGTTGGGGTTACTGTTTGCATTGTCCAACATGTCCTGTGCGATTTCCAGACAGCGTTGCTTCTGCTCCATTGTTAGCAGTTTCAGTACGGATTTCGCGGACACTCTCCTCATGCCCAAATCCTCGGTCAGAATTGAATGTACCGATCCAGTGCTTACCCTTATCTCGTTCGCAAGTTCTCGGACTGTGACACAACAGTGCTCCATGACCAAAATCCGCACTTGCTCAATGACATTCTCATTTCGGCTTGTTGAGGGTCTGCCTGAATGCGGTTCGCTGTCCACTGATGTGCGGCCATCTTTGAAGCGGTTGTACCTCTCCTTTATCCGTGAGTTGCTCATGGCATCGTCCCCGAAAGCCTGTTGAATCTTGCGAATGGTTTCCACTTGAATATCGCCAAGCTTTTGGCAAAATGTGATGCAGTATCGCTGCTCATGTTGTTCTGTCATTTTACACCTTACTGGAATCGGACGAGCGTTCACTACACATCCTCACTCATAGGCCGACTGCCAGCGACTGATGCTTTCTGTGGGCGGGAAAAAATTCACGACTGCGCATGAATGTCCTCTCCACATCTCCACCGAAGGGACCCTCCCTCGCTTCATTGGTTTACGCAGGAAAAAAGAAGGTTTGATACTTTTTGAACACACCACATATGTTCTTGCTGGTTTTTACNCACAACAGTGCTCCATGACCAAAATCCGCACTTGCTCAATGACATTCTCATTTCGGCTTGTTGAGGGTCTGCCTGAATGCGGTTCGCTGTCCACTGATGTGCGGCCATCTTTGAAGCGGTTGTACCTCTCCTTTATCCGTGAGTTGCTCATGGCATCGTCCCCGAAAGCCTGTTGAATCTTGCGAATGGTTTCCACTTGAATATCGCCAAGCTTTTGGCAAAATGTGATGCAGTATCGCTGCTCATGTTGTTCTGTCATTTTACACCTTACTGGAATCGGACGAGCGTTCACTACACATCCTCACTCATAGGCCGACTGCCAGCGACTGATGCTTTCTGTGGGCGGGAAAAAATTCACGACTGCGCATGAATGTCCTCTCCACATCTCCACCGAAGGGACCCTCCCTCGCTTCATTGGTTTACGCAGGAAAAAAGGTTTGATACTTTTTGAACACACCACATATGTTCTTGCTGGTTTTTACGTTGAAAAATGTATGTGAATTCAAGATGGTGATTTCAAAGAAGTGCAGAAAAAATGTTCTATACCATTTCAGTGATTTTCTTACACATTCGATAGAGGTGATCATCATGTCTGTCCTGTCAACTGCTCCCATGTTCTTGTTATAGTCAGTGACACAATGTGGTTTCTCTGTTTGTTGTTTTTTTTATCTGTCCTGTTTCCCTGTCTGTCTCATGGTATCTGAGTGTAGTGTAGTCAGCATGCAAATTTCCCTGNATATCGCCAAGCTTTTGGCAAAATGTGATGCAGTATCGCTGCTCATGTTGTTCTGTCATTTTACACCTTACTGGAATCGGACGAGCGTTCACTACACATCCTCACTCATAGGCCGACTGCCAGCGACTGATGCTTTCTGTGGGCGGGAAAAAATTCACGACTGCGCATGAATGTCCTCTCCACATCTCCACCGAAGGGACCCTCCCTCGCTTCATTGGTTTACGCAGGAAAAAAGGTTTGATACTTTTTGAACACACCACATATGTTCTTGCTGGTTTTTACGTTGAAAAATGTATGTGAATTCAAGATGGTGATTTCAAAGAAGTGCAGAAAAAATGTTCTATACCATTTCAGTGATTTTCTTACACATTCGATAGAGGTGATCATCATGTCTGTCCTGTCAACTGCTCCCATGTTCTTGTTATAGTCAGTGACACAGTGTGGTTTCTCTGTTTGTTGTTTTTTGTATCTGTCCTGTTTCCCTGTCTGTCTCATGGTATCTGAGTGTAGTGTAGTCAGCATGCAAATTTCCCTGCGGTCCATCCACCTGACAGCCATCATCTTATCGGTTGACCTTGAATCTGTTTGTTCTATATCTAATTTTGTTTCTGAAAATTTAGGCATTCCTTTTCTGTTTGTCTTGTTGGTGTCGAGATGCTCATACAATTGTGGACTCGAGTACCAGTTATATATCCACAGTGTATGACCTTTCTGTAAATATTTCTCCATAAGTGTCATTACAGCAGCACCTGATACTCNCGTTGAAAAATGTATGTGAATTCAAGATGGTGATTTCAAAGAAGTGCAGAAAAAATGTTCTATACCATTTCAGTGATTTTCTTACACATTCGATAGAGGTGATCATCATGTCTGTCCTGTCAACTGCTCCCATGTTCTTGTTATAGTCAGTGACACAGTGTGGTTTCTCTGTTTGTTGTTTTTTGTATCTGTCCTGTTTCCCTGTCTGTCTCATGGTATCTGAGTGTAGTGTAGTCAGCATGCAAATTTCCCTGCGGTCCATCCACCTGACAGCCATCATCTTATCGGTTGACCTTGAATCTGTTTGTTCTATATCTAATTTTGTTTCTGAAAATTTAGGCATTCCTTTTCTGTTTGTCTTGTTGGTGTCGAGATGCTCATACAATTGTGGACTCGAGTACCAGTTATATATCCACAGTGTATGACCTTTCTGTAAACATTTCTCCATAAGTGTCATTACAGCAGCACCTGATACTCCAAATTCGTGATCAGGTACTATTTCTGTAGTTGCCCCTGTGTACACAATAAAATCTAATACATATCCTGCTTCACAATCACAAATTATGAAGGTCTTTATTCCAAATCTGTGTCTTTTAGATGGAATGTACTGTATGAATGAAAGTCAACCCTTGAAGAGTGTCAGACTTTCGTCAATGCAGAGATTTTGAAATGGAATAGAAACTTGACTGAATTTTGTTTTGAGATGGTTGATGATGGGTTTTGTTTTGTACAGAAGATCACCTTTAGGCTGATTCTCGTTATCACTGAAATGTAACAGCCTCAATAATAATGTCCCTAGACATGCAGTCAGAAAATTGGGGGGGGGGGGGGGGCAAGTAGGCGCTCCGCAGACCAATAGCCTAATATTGTTAATTTTTTCATCCTAACCATAAGCATTGTAACAGCGAGAAAAACATGTAATTATTCTGTTGTCGTATTTCTCCATTTTTGTAGTCTTGAACCTGCAGGTGGTGGAATTTTGTCTGTCACAAACTGGTAATATTTGTTGGTTTCTGATGCTGTTTCCTGCATAAGTTCTCGAGAAAAAGAAACACCAAAAATGTCCAAAGCAGTTGGTTCATTTTGAATTTCGTTTGTAGAAAATCCCAAAGCACTGTAATCAATACATGAATTATTGGATTGAATGCACCACTATGCCACTGAAACAGTGGTGGATTGGAGTGATTTCTTTTTCTCGAAGGTTGATCAATTACTGCACTACCACTATCTTCATTATCACTAGAATGATATTCACTGTCAGAATCACCAATTTCTGAATATTCATCCTCTGATTCTGCAGTATTTACGGTGACCAAAAGTTCTTCATCGGACAGAAAGCACCGCACTCTATACGAAGCCATTTTTAATAGCCCTGTGAAATACCCACGTCACATGACCACGGAGCGCGTGTCTCACTGTGCAGATGCAACCTTTTACATTTCTTAAGCTAGAGGGCAGAAGAATGCAGCCATTGAAATGAATTGCCGTCCCATAGATGACTCTGCACCCGCCAAGTTTGAATGAGATTGGTGCAAAGAAACCTGAGATTTGAAACTCTTAAAGTTGCAATACGGGTTGTCGATCGCAGCAAAGACGCCATGTTTTTAAGAGATCGACATATGTCGACCACAGCCGTATAAGGCTTAATATGTGCCTGTAGTCACAGGGGTTGATGGATACTATGAGGAGATTGGTTTCTTTATATGTGCCCCCCCCCCCCAGAAATCATACTACTGCTTTGCTTCGAATTTTCTTCCCAATGAAACCACTTCCCTCAAACAGGTACCAAAGCCACAAGAGTTGCCTGAGGGCTATGATGTGTGTCCTGGAGCCCACTGCCATCATTCCAGGATGTATATTATGTTGGCTCCTATATAGTGCATATATTGTCATTTATTATGAGCAGTTGTATGAAAGTACAGCAGCTTATGTTGCTGGACATGATTGATGCTCTGTGAACTTACGGCAGTACTGTTTGGTGCCATGGGGCTTAATGGCAGAGGATGGACACCATGGACATCATATTCCTCAATCAGCATAACCTTCACATTCTTTGGTATACAAGGTACAGGGTACTTCAGTGGCTAATGTATTTCCATACCTATTTACATTTGTCCCAGCCCTTTCAAGAGCTGTTTTTTAATTCTGTTTCTCCTCTCTTTTTTCCCGCCCCAATTGAGAGTTTTGTTCAGAAATGTTCATTTGAATTTAGGGTTTGTAAACTATGGATAAAAAGTAATGTGTACTCTTCCCTGTTACATGAAAAGAATTTAAATGTTTTGAGTAGTTTTATACTATTCATATTTATAGTTGCTGTTACTGAGCTGTTTATTTTAGCTATATGAGGAGTCTTTGGTGGAGAATGAACGACTGAGAGAGAAGCTAAAGAAGACTGAAGAAGATTTGAATGACAGGAAATCTCAGCTAGATAAATTGTCTGTTGCGGTGAGTATTACTGTTTTTTATGTTATCACTTTACAACCTTTCGAACTCCTCAGACCATGTGAGCAACCCTTCCTCACCCTGTGGAACATCCTGTTTACCCACATGAAAGTAGCTCATCATACACAATATTGGTTCATAATAGAAAATATAGATTTTATTAAGAACTTCAGTTTTCATTTGAAACATTTCTCAATAACTATGATAGTACGTAAAGTAAAATAAAGTAAAGCTATTCCTGTACCAGGCCGTGGAGGCCCATAGGGTTGTGAGACATTGAGGGTCCCACATTATCTAGACAATTGGCTCAAAGATGACAGTAAGGTTGTCAGCCTTATGCACTGGCCGCGCTTTACTCCCCAGGAGTAGCATAGTTGGTTGAGGGGCTATGCTACAAGCCAGAACGTCACGGGTTCAAGTCCTGATGAGGTCATTGGATTTTTTCAGTTGACTTAATTCTTCCAGCCGCACTATGGCCCTGGGGTCGACTCAGCCCCTAGCAGAAATGAGTACCAGGAATTAATTAAATAATATTCCTGGGGAGTAAAGCGCAGCCGGCACATAAGGCTGACAACCTTACCGCCAACTTTGAGCCGATTGTCTAGATAATGTTGGACCCTCAACGTCTCACAACCCTATGGGCCTTCACGGCCTCTTACAGGGATGATAGTATGTATACAGTGAAATACTAAAGAAGTGATATACGAGGGGGGACCCAAAAATAACCGGAATTTGTTTTTGTTATTTTTTATTTTTGCATTTTTATTGAACTGTATATTAGTCCCCTTCAGAGTATTGTCCATGTGCATTAATGCACTTGTCCCAACGCTTTTGCCACTGCTCAAAACAGTGCTGGAATTCTTGAGGCTGGATACTGTTCAAAGCCTTTAGCGTGTTTTCTTTGACTTCATCCACATCACGGAATCGCTTTCCTTTCAGACTTGACTTCTCTNCCCTAACAGAAAGCAAAATTTCACGCACACTCTTTGTTCCTTCTGGTCGGCCATCTCACTAATCGCCCAAGGGTTGAAACAGGAACGCACACAACAGAGCACCACAGACAAACCACTTAATTCAGACTGACGCCAGCTCACTAACAGTCGCGGGAGACCCCCAGCTAACACCACATAGCAGCACAACTCGTAACTACAAAGCATGCGTGCGCAACAGGTCGGTTCCGGTTATTTTTGGGTCCCCCTTCGTAATTATTTACAGATATATAATTTTTACTGATTTTGTTAATGTTGGTAGCATACAACAGTCACTTCCACACAGAAAGTACTTTGAACATACAAGGATTTTCTTCTGTTAGGGTGCCTCATGGTATAATGTACATGTATTAGTGACTATAGATGACTACACTTTACAGTTCACTGTTACACACACACACCAGTGTCCACAGTCACATCTTCACTGCCGTTGCTTGGTAGCGGCTTCCAGTGACAGACATTCCCCTTCCTCTGGGATCTCGAACTATCCACAGCCTCACCTATCATCTTCTCACAGCAACAGCTCACAACAGCTGAACTCCTGGTTATCGCACCAACTCACCAACCAACTCCCTCCACTCTCCAGACTGTCTCTGTTCTCTTGTCTGGCTTATAACATCTCAGCATGGACCATGTAGAAAACAGTGCTCCTCTGTTGCTGTGAAATTGTTGCATTCCTGTCGGTGGAGCCATTACCTAGTAATGGCTGTTGTATAGCTGCTTATTTCATGGTCACTGCCTAACAATGGGTCTGCATGCCACAGTACCTACCAGTAAGTCTTAAAAAGAGTGGTGTGAATGCATTATACAAGGATGACACTTATGTGTGGAAATATGTGACACTTAAACATAACACATAATTGATGGATGTCATTCCTATCCTGTAGACAGATGGGATTTGAGATGCTACTGCGCCTGCTAACAGTATATGCATAAATGACTAGTGAGGACTGAAGTATTTGCTTCATTATATAATTTTGTCACAGAGTGTGGAAACTGCATTAAAAGTTTGTGTACCCTTAATAAGTTGTATTATAAACCACAGCAGATTTTGTACGATTCATATAGAAAACAGTATCACTGGACTCATACATATAGATTTTCATGACTTTGTAAGTTCTATTAGAGATCTAAATTTGTTGCTTCAAATTTTACAGACGGCAAAAAATTCCTTAACTGAAATGGAAAAACGTGAAAGGAGGGCAATGGAGCGGAAATTGTCAGAAATGGAAGAGGAATTAAAGGTTAGTACTGCATATTAATTTTGTACCAGCTTTTCAGCTCATTGGCACAACGTTCTCTCAACACAGCATATCTGGCTTAATTGTGCTGCTGATTAGGAAAACTATTGGCATGGTTGGTACTGAAAAATATGTTCAACATATTGACAAGACTGGATGTTTGTTATACATATTCATTTAATCTTTCACTTGTTTATACATTTTGTAAACCTGTTGAATGATTATGAATAAAGATGTTAATCTAAGTTACTTATAAAGTTAATTTAAATAATTTGGTTTATTTTGAAAATATCTGCCACAACAATAGAAGGGGAAACAAATTTTCTTGATAACAAGAAACACCATATAAATAAAGTTCTTGGATAAATGTAAGAAATCTGTTTTCCTTTATTCTGTGTATTGAGGATAGAAAAAACTGTAAACAATACTTACTATATGTAGAACCAGCTTTAATACTAAGAAATTCTGCATTTTCCCCATGTAGTGTATTTACGAGTTTTATATGATTCTTACAGTGAACAGCATTAACCAATTGGTAACAGATCTGTAGTGTGTTTTATGTGCAGTAGGACCCATATTTCAAGTCCTCTTGGGCGAAATTCATACCTCAGATAATTAATAGTTACACCAGTAAATGACTCTGTATCATTGCTACTAGTATAGATCATCACATTAAATTTATTAGATGTACGTGGTGTGTTCAAAAAGTATAGAACCTTCTTTTTTCCCGCGTAAACCAATGAAGCGCGGGAGGGTCCCTTCGGTGGAGATGTGGAGGGGACATTCATGCGCAGTCGTGAATTTTTTCCCACCCACAGAAAGCGTCAGTCGCTGGCAGTCGGCCTATGAGTGAGGACGTGTAGTGAGCACTCGTCGGATTCCAGTAAGGTGTAAAATGACGGAACAGCGTGAGCAGCAATATTGCATCAAATTTTGCCAAAAGCTTGGCGATACCCAAGTGGAGACCATTCGCAAGATTCAACAGGCTTTTGGGGACGATGCCATGAGCAACTCACAGATAAAGGAGTGGTACAGCTGCTTCAAAGATGGCTGCACATCAGTGGACAGCGAACCGCGGTCATGAAGACCCTCAACAAGCCGAAATGAGAATGTCATTGAGCAAGTGCGGACTTTGGACATGGAGGACCGTCGTCTCACAGTCCGAGAACTTGCGAACGAGATAGGGGTAAGCATTGGATTGGTACATTCAATTTTGACCGAGGATTTGGGCATGAGGATAGTGTCCACAAAATTCATACCGAAACTGCTAACAACGGAGCAGAAGCAACGCCGTCTGGAAATCGCACAGGACATGCTGGACAATGCAAACAGTAACCCAAAATTTCTGAACACCATGATCACAGGCAGTGAGTCGTGGGTTTATGGGTATGACCCGGAAACAAAGATGCAGTCGTCACAGTGGAAACATCTGACATCCCCGAGGCCAAAAAAAGCACGGCAGGTCCACTGCAATGTCAAGGTCATGTTGGCCGTTTTCTTCGACTCCCGTGGGGTTGTGCATCATGAGTACTCACCACAAGTCCAAACCATCAGAAAGGAATACTACCAGGAACTTGGTAGCTCCATCATGATAATGCACCCGCCCATTCTGCACATCTGATTCAGACTTTCGTCGCCAAACACAACATCCCTGTGGTTCGTCAGGCTCCCTACCCCCCGACATGGCTCTGTGTGACTTTTGGCTATTTCCCAAGCTGAAAATGCCACTGAAAGGAACCCAATTTGAGTCAAGAGAAGACATCATGTGGAATGCAACGGCCTGGCTGATCACCCTTCCAAAAGACGGGTTCCAGAAGTGTTTCCAACAATGGCGGAAGCGCTGGGAGAAGTGTGTACATTACCAAGGAGACTACTTTGAAGGGGATTAGAGTTTTGTACCTTCAAATCAATAAATGTATTTCTGCCGACCAAAGGTTCGATACTTTTTGAACACACCATGTATAACCTGGCGAAAGTTCTGACCAGCGTGGAATGATGGGGCTAGGAGCAGATGTCTTGAAGAGCACAGAAGAAAATATGAACTGTTCATATGATATAAGAGCTGAAACACAGAAGTGTGTGACTTTTGAATCTTAGCATTATGATTTGAATTGGAAATTGGTTGGCTTAGAGGAATTGTAAGGCTGTTTTTATTCTCTAGGAGAAATAAATATAAAATGAGAGCTAAACTATATACATAGGCCTCGCCATAGCTCAAGCGGTTAGTCGCTGGCTTCCCACCGCGGTGGCCCGGGTTCATTCCCAGGTTTGGTCAAGTGGGATTTGTGGTGGACAAAGTGACACTGGGGCAGGTTTTCTCTGAGTACTTCGGTTTCCCCTATCAATCTTCATTCCACCAATTGCTCCACAGTCACCCTCACCTATCATCTGGGGCTGGTACAATAGGCCAGAAGTGGCCGCAGTGCAAGGGACATGGAACTTCTTAATTTGATATTGATTTTCAGTTCATGGCGATTACTTTTATACTTTATTACATAAATTCATTTTTTTATTTCTTTTCATGTATACCAAATCTTGTCAGAAAAACAATGTTGTGCACATGAGGTTTCAGAATTGTTATAATATTATTGTGACATTTTCAGTCTTTCTGAGGAGTAGTAAATGCCCTATTGAAGAGTCATTACAATTCCAGAAGATGGGGCTCTTTTGTTAATGTAGTGGAGTTGTAAATATCTTTGGTAATTTGCTGTGTTGAGGACTCTGGAAGTATGCCAAGGCTTCATAACCGTTTGTTTACATTAATGTGAGAAGTCTGAATTGTGTGCTCTAGATTAAAATTACGTTATACTGTCTGTAGCTCTTTGGTGGATAGGAGAACTGTCTTTCACATATTCACAGCAAAGTATTGTTTAAAGTCAGGTTTGGGTGTTGGAGCTCTACCGACAGGATGCATATTGGGTTGTGGTGTCTCCTGCCGGAATAATTTTGATGTATTGGTTTTGGTTGGTTCTGTGTGTTTTGAAACATAATTTGGTTTTGGGTTGTATGTGAGTGTGTGTGTTCATTAATTTTTCAGCCCTCCCCCTCCTCTAATTTAATTTTGTAGGATGCGTTTTCTTATTTTGAAGGAAAATATATTTTATCAGAACTGTTGTTAAAATAATTACCATTTTTCTGAATTTTGACTGTTAGCATGAAACTTCAGTAGTAAATGCAAGAACAAATGTGGCAAGAGCAACTAACAAAGGTTAGCTCATATCATAAAGCAAAGCGTGATTTCCTAGATTGTGCTGGGCATTTATTGTGTTCTATTATATTAGTGTATATCAACTTTCTTTGTATTAAAGCCATAAGTCCTTATTCTCAGAAGTTTATAGAAAACCATTAGCATATTATTGGTTTTCCTTGAGTGAATTTATAGTTAATTTACAGTTATTTATCAGAGCATGAATAAAATAAGTTTTTGTGTGATTTTGTTTTAACAGCCCATGCTTTGTTCCTCATTGTGTACTCTAAATTAAATGTCAACGTTTAACGCTCTAAGTGAATGCAGTGTTCATATATTATGAATTTTTGCTGTGATAGCAGTGTAGAGCGATCTTCAGTAGTTATCGGGTATTTGAAATTGATTCAGGTTAGAATGCAGTCCATTGGATATTACAGAATTGAACTGAACTCTTTTTGTGTGTGTGTGGGTGTGCGTGTGTGCATTGTGAAAGACCTTAAAGGGTAGAATACTGCAGCACATGTTTACTATATGAAATAACAATAAATGTACTAGCAGAATCCAGAAATTAACCAAATCTTTACCTCAATTTAGTTGGAAATTTGCGTCAGCATATTAATAGGAGCAGTGGCAGAAACATTTGTCATAAGAAAGAAATCTCACTGAAGGTGGATTTAGGTCAGTCATTTTGACGAAGACTGGAAGGGCTCGTACATTCCATCATTGCATAGTACGGAACATGTTAATCCATATATGATGTAAGAACTAGACAGGAAAGTACAAATATTATGTTTTTTGGACATTATTCGTCGGCCTGTCTTTATCTAAAAAAGCTGTCCTGTTTATTTCTCAAAACTTAATGTTTTGTAGACTGAATTCTGTCTCCTTCTTCAGGTAGTCCCTGTCTCCAGAGAGATGGAATGAGCCAAACTTAGGTTTTACCAGAGGACAGAGACAATCCAGTCTCAGAAACGTTGAGTTTTGAAAAATAAACAGGATGGTGTTTTTAGATAAAGACAGAGCAATTGATAATGTCCAGAAACATAATATTTTTACTGATGTACCATTATCACAAACTTTTAGATCTTATGGATCTGAAAGGATTAAAATAGTGTCCATCTAACCACTTTGCATATTTCTAAGAGAGTTATATGGCTGTGTTGTCATTGTTTAATTTTACACAATTCTCGTTCTCTTTTGAGTTTTTACTGAGTACTTGTGTCTTGAACTGCTCTCTTACACGCATATTTAGGTGAATTAGTATGAAGCTAATATTATTTTCTCCTGTGTAATGATATAAAATGTTCAATCAGGTGCACTCCAATAGAGTTTTCCTTACCATTTTCTACTCTTGCTGCAGTCAGTTTTACTTGTGATGGTATAGACAGAAAACTGGCATATAAATGAAGATGTACACATGTTAATAGAACAGAGTTTTTTAATCAGTTGAATTGCTTTTATCATTAGTAGTTCCTTACATATTCCTCCCCCCTTCACAAACAACACGTGTCTTGTGTAAAGGGGGAGGGGGTAACGTGGTACATTTTATTTCTGCTTGTCATGGTGTTTTGAAATTAATACCAAAGAATTTATTTAAAATGTGTGATACTAGAGAGGGGTGATAAGTTTGTTTCAAAGATGTTGTTTAAATGTTTACTCTTTCCAGCAATTACAAAAACTCAAAGCTGAAAACGAAAGGTTGAAAGCGGAAAACCGGGCTTTGACCCGGGTGGTGTCGAAACTGACCAATTCCGCCAATGCCACAAAATAGGTAACAACTAATATTGCACCTTCCTCAGGACTGTCCGCATTCGCA